CGTACTGCTCTCTTAAATTTGATAGATTTTTTATCAGAATTATCACTTGCTGATAAAATTGGTAAATATCCTAATAATTGTTTTGCATCAGGTTTGTTACGCCGCTAATTTTTAATGTTGCCAATAGTTACATATATAGGATGTAGTTGACTTTTTCCCAATGTATCAACGTTTGTTACATCGAAATATAATATTAAGAATAAAAGTTTTGCACCAATTGGTAAACATTTTTTGGTATTCTTCTACCACATGCCAGTATTTTGTTCGTTATATATTCTTTCTCCATCAATCTTTAATTTATTTAAACATGATTATTAATATTAATGTGATTAAACGTAAATATTAAATTACATAAATTTAAATAATTACTTCAAGATTTTCAAAATTTAACGCAAAATTTTGCATTATATCAGGAATTGTTAAAATATTATTTATGCAATTTTAAGATTTAGATGATGAAGATAATATTCTATATTATTATAGGTTATTATGCAAGTTTTTTGGTAATCTAAATTTGGTTGATTCATATTATCCATAAATCGTCATCCTTATTCGGTTGATTTAGGTAGTGGAGATGTAACAAGATTTGCATATTTATTAAAAAAATGTATTATTTCATTTCCTGTATTATTACTTAATTTATTTTTAATTACTAATGTCATAAAATCTTCATATGCTTTATTAGGATAATTTATATTCACATCAGACTCAGGTTCTAAAATATCTTGATTTATTATTGAATCTTCAGATATAATATTCTCAAAATTACTGCTATGATCGTCATTTAAAAGTAATTTTTCAATAGGCAGAGGAAGATCTTCATATAAACTTTTGTCATTCATCTAAAATAAATGATATATATGTTTATATTTAAAAATATTTAAAAAAATTATATCACAATACTTTATTAAAAAACATATTTCAATAGAATTAAAAATCTCTTTACTTTCTAGTGAAATATCATTAATATCCATAATAGAACCATCACTTTCATCACTTTCATCACTGATAAATTGATCACAAATATTGATATGCTGGCTATATTCTGAACGACAACTAAATATACGCTTATAAAATAGGCACTTGTAATTAACTATTTGTGATTTTATGTAAGATGATAATTTAAAGTATTGTTAAATTTATTAATTTTTTTTTCTTGATCTATTCAAAAAGATATTGAGGTTTATATATAATGTTTTTTATTCATTAAAGGATGGTGAAATTTAATATTAAAATTAGTATTTCTGCTAAATAGCTTATATGTGCAGATAATTTCATATTCTAGTTTCTATGCTATATCTAAATACTTCAGGCAAAATTAATTTTGCTGAATTGATCTGCAAAAATATATCCAAATTAGAGTTCGTAGGTTTCAGATAGGTTTCGAATCATAGTCAAGCTGAACGTTTCAGATTTTAAAAAATAGTTTTACCTGAAATACTAACTGTACCCTTAACAGCTATTTTTCAGAAAATTTAATTTAATTAAAAAAATACATAAAATAATAAAAAAAATTATAAAGATTTGTGAGATTA